TATTTCTATCAGCCTGGCATGCACAGTGGTGGTGGTGTTTTAATATTTAAATAAGTAGAAAACTGTTAAAAATCAGGAGATGTCCTCTAAAAGTCCAATCCCAAGCTTCTTATAAAGAAATACAGTAGTCTCCCTTATCTGCAGTTTGCTTTCCATGGTTTCAGTTATCCACAGTCAACTGTGGTCTGAAAATATTAAATACAAAATTCCAAAAATACACAATTCATAAGTTTTAAATCACACACCATTCTGAGCACTGGGATGAAATCTCACGTAGTCCCACTCTGTCCCACCCGGGGTGTGAATCATCCATTGTCTAGCATCTTCATGTTGTATAAACTACTAACTGGTTGCTCACTTAGTAGCACCCTCAGTCGTCAGATTGACTGTCACGCTGCTGCAGTGCTTGTGTTCAAGTAATCCTAACTTTACTTAATAATGGCCCCAAAGTGCAAGAGTAGGGATACTGGCAGTTTGGAGGTACCAATGAAAAGCCATAAAGTGTGTGTATGCATAGGAAAAAGCACAGTATATATATAGTTTGGTACTATTCACAGTTTCAGGTATCCACTGGAGGTACTGGAACACATCCCCCCAAAATAATGGGGGTACTACTGTAGTTCTGGCAACACAGAACCTCATTCAGTAAGGCACGGTGCCTCTGGATGAGAGATGCTCTCTCTTAGCTTACCAGAGTCCCCACCATGCCCTACTCTCTTACATCAAGTTTTTCTTCCTTCTTGCTATCTACCTGGCTCCTGAAAAAAATTGGGTTTGTGACCCTTATATTGTGAGCCTCTGGGGGACAAGAACTCTGTCCTCCGTCCCTCTTAAAGTCCCATGATTTCCAATGTGAACCCTAAGGGGGGAAAAAAAAGGCAACAAGTGACAATGCCTCCTGGGGGCTAAATGAGCTTAGAAAAAAAAAAAAAAGGGAGAAGGTGGCAGCCACTTCTGCACAGGAGCCTCTTACACAAACTGCACTTCAAGAAGGAGCATCTGCAGTAAACTTCCTGCCTCCACAATGGAACTGCCTGCCTGCACTGTGTTCCTGCCATCTAAGCCAGCCCAGAAAGGAGGTCATTCCCCATCCAGTCGGAGCTGTGCAGCTCTGACCAATCACAGAAGCTCTATTCAGACCAATCAGGACAGTGCCTTTGAAACAAACTACGAGGATGTGGAGTCCTAACTGGCATTAGATGGACCAATCAGGGACCAGGGGTGGGGACTTCTGTATATAAGCTGGCTTCCCTTTGACTCAGAGAACAGACTTTCTACCAAAGACTAAAAACTGCATTTCCCAGGCTAGAGCTGAAGCACCAAAGATGTCTTTCTAGAGCAAAACAGACCAGTACAGAGCAGACCATCATGGAGCAAAGCAGACTGTATCACTATTGAGCTATTTGCACCAAATAGTTTCATTCTTCACCGTACCCCAAATTGGGGATTCCTATTGACATTGAATTGGCACCAACACCCATCAGCTGATACCCGTAAATTCCTGCCTAGCAGGTTCTATATCAAATCGAACATTTTAAAACTGAGGCCCAAATTAAAATTATCCTCAGTCTTGCTGGCTTGGATGTGTCTTGAGAAACAGGAACACAGTATTGGTTGCCTTTTCATGTCTGTGATTTAGAGGCCTAGAACCCAGTGTCCAAAGAGAAAGCAAATAAGGCTGCACTTCTGAGCAGACACCTCTGCCTGCTTCCAGACTGTGCTGGGAAAAGTGAAGGTGCCTCAGCAGCCAGCCCCCAGGGCTTTGTTTCAGATGATTAATGCTTGTCCTGGCTTAAGTTAGACTCCTCTGCCACCCCTACCCCTTCAAGGAGCTCCCGTAGCCCCTGCCCCGTACCTAGCCATGGGGGCTAGGAGTCCCTGACCCACAAGCATCCCTTCCCAAGCTCAGGAGCATGTCCTGAGCTTTATTTATTTCAAAAGGGAGCTGATGATGATAACAACAACCTGACGTTTGAATGCTAGGACATGCCAGATGCTGTTCTAAATGCACTATCTCATTCAATCCTGACAACTTTATGAGGTAAGAAGTACCGTATCCCCCATTTTACAGATGGGGAATTAAAAGCTCAGAGATATCAAGTAACTTGTCTACAGCACTCAGTAAGGAGAGGGCAGAGCTGGGATTCAAAGCCAAGCAGCCTGACTTTAAAACCACTGGTACAGAATAGGCTACACTGTACAGATGCAGCCCCAAGTGTCCCACCGACAACCTGTGGGACACTCCTCTCTACACCTGGGCTGCTTATCCAGGACACCTGTGACCCTGCCTGTGGGCTTGTCTCCTGGTTGCATGAGAAGCACAGCCCACAAGCAGGACAAGCTGGAAGTGCTAGCAAGTTAATTTCTCTGGAAGCAGACCTCAGCCACAAGAGAAGGGAGCAGGTGGATACTTCAGCTTCCGATCCCTCAATTGGGAACCCCTGTAGCACTCAACTCCCAGCGCGATGAAACCCCAGTTACCCAGAGTAGTAACTTGCTTGACAACACATGCTTTTCTGGCTCCCTTCCTCTCCCTGCACCACTCCCCACTACCCTATGGTGCCTCCTGGGATCTCCTCCAAAGAAGCCACGTGCACTTGAATCCTTAGTCTGCTGCTGGGGACACTCAAAGCAGGACAATGACCAGCAGTGAGATGTAAGAAAGTGGCTTAACCTCTCTGCACCTCAGTTTCCTCACTGGTAAAAGAAAAATTAGGATGTTAATAGCATTTACCATTCAGTTGTCATGAGGATTGAATTGAATGAGTTAATATTCCTAAAGTACTTAAATAATAATAAAAATTCTAAGAAATTTTTAAGAAAAAAGTCATAAAACCCATTCTGAACCATCTAAAATGGTGCCTTCCCTTCTGTGGCCCATCAGCAAGCCCACAGTCAGGAAAAAAAAAACCCAGAAGAGTTCACTCCGACCTTCGGAAACAAATCATGCGTAGTAGCTGCACCCCGCTCACCCTACTGTGAAATTCTCTTACCCCAATTCCAACAGCTCAATTTTACCATCACTCAGAATTTCTCTACATAAGAGACTTGAAAGCAATTCTGGGTGCTAATTGGTTATTGCACAGGGATTACATTTCTCATGTTCAAGGTCAACTGAAATTCCACTATGTGAGAACAATTTCAGGCTGTTGGAAACTTTTTTTTAAAGCAACAACTATGGTGAGGAGCAATTACAGTCCAACATAAACAAGCATCTGAGGGCTCTTGCTCCAATTAAAGGGGACACATTTTGTTGCATGCAAACAAAATAGCCCTTTACTTCAAGCTAGTAACCAGCCCAGACAAATGCTCTGTTCATGTAGGAAATGTATTCCTTGGTGTTCTGAAATGTCACTTCAGCTCCCCTAGGAAAGAAGGAATCATTTTGCACAACTGAAACGTCATTTTGTACAAGAAAATATTGGCCTTGTTTTTTTTTACACACAGTAATACATTTTAACACAGCAGCAAATGGATACGTCATCAGGAAGGTGGGGGAAAGAGATGGAAAATGTTTTCTGGAAGGACTTGTTTTATTAAAGTGTCCAGTTCTCAATTCTACTGGGTGAGAAGTCCTTCTATCAACTCCTTTGGTCTCGAGCCAGGTATACAGGAAGGACCCTCAGCCACCAAGTTCAGGGGAGAATGACTCAAACATAGGCTCAAGGCCAGAGTGCTTATTCCACTTGTCTCCAGGAGGGGATATCCCACTGGGTCAGAACCATCACCACAGTCCAGGTTCTATGGAGGGCACAGGCTCAAGACAAGGGTCAACACTCAAGTGACATTTTTGTCAAGCTCAGGGGGAAACTAACATGGTTCTTGAAATAAATGGCAAAAATCCTTGCTGAAGCTAGCACAGCCCTTCTGCTCAGACCTCTTCCTCCTTTCCCAGCCTTACTTGTACCCACCTTTTGCTGTCTCTGCTCTCCCCAAACTGCCCTTCTGTCAGTCCCACATAGCTGCTATACCTCCCCACCACAGGGCCTTTGCACATGCTGTCTTCTCTGAATGGAATGCTTTCTCCCCTTCTTTCCTGGGTTAACTTCCATTGTTGTTTCCTCAATAACATCATCCCTGTGCTTTCCAAGTTACATTTCCCTCTATGTTCTAAGGTACGATGGACCTGTCTTCCACAGAACATTACCTGGACATATTTTGCTTGTGCGATTATTTGATGAATAACAATGGTGGTAATCTACTTTGTCTGTAGGTATTTTATAAATTTTTTCAGAGTCAGTGGGCCATCACTGCTTATCTAGAATTGGTAATTTTCCCATCAGACTCAGTATATAGAGTTTACATGAAAATCATGTGTTCCATCATAAAACAACTTTAAAATCAGTCAGTACACAAGTAATGAAAGAACTAAAACACTTCTTCGCAAAATGCTTTCTTCGTAAAAGTAGGATGTGTCCTACACACCAGTTACTCTCAAAAAGATAAAAATAGTGTCTATTTCGCCCCACAGAAGGGAAGCAGTTTATCTGAGACAGAAGCAGAGCCAGCCCTAGAGCCAAAGGTCAGAGCCAAGGTCAGGGCTCTTACTCCTCAAAAGATACACCTACAGGAATTTCATGAAGTCACCAGCACTATAAACCACTTTTCAACAGTACAGCACCATCCCACCAACACATCCAAATCCAGATTCTATCCCTCAGCAAACCTAGTTGACTCAGCCAACAAAATATATCACTATTCTGTCCACTTTTATTTACCATCACTACCATCCCAGTCCAAGCCACCACCAAAATGACCTGGGCAGTGAATGAGCACTTTAAAGAAAACGTCTAAATCTCAATGGAGACAGGGAGGCAGGAATGTCTTCACAAGGCAGGGAACACTTAATTGAGGTCTTGAAGGATAAGTAGGAGTTTTCTGGGAGACGGAACATTGCCAAGACACAGAGTCATGAAAGGCCTTGTAAGAAACCCCAAGGAAAAACAGCACTGAGGCAGATTCAAGTAGTTTCCACTGATGCGGAAAGAAAGACATCTCACCTCGAATTTCTGCCGCAGTTCCTCGTTGCCTTCGCCTCCTTCTGGTGGTACAGGCACATTAAAGTACTCGCCCTCCTCCTGACTCAGCAACTTAAACCTAAAGGGAGACAAGGGCCAGGACAAATTCCATGACTCTACTTGATAGTATTTTGTTCTCCATTCACAAATCATCCTAGGCAGCTTCTAAAAACAGGGAATCAGTGATTCAAAGTAGAGATGACAATCTGAGTCTCCACATTTAATATTCAATTCTGTCCTTCCAAATCCCCACTGGAATTACAAAAAATATACAAAAAATAAGAGAACATCTGTATCTTTGCTACAAGTCAGGAAGGGTGCTATCCACACAGTAGGGACTTCTGGAAATTTCCCCAAATTAAAGTCACAGTACAAGGACATGGGGTGGTGTTTGGCAAACTTTATTTACCTTTGTGGGTTTTGCTAAATCTGGATATCACGGACTAATGCTTTTCATTAAATTGCCTCTTTTTTTAAAACAGTAAATTCACTCTGAAAGAACACTTGATACGTCTCATAAAGAAGGCCAACATCACTTGTTACAAGAAGAAAGTAATGTAAAAATATAAACATATACAACTCAATGCTACCCAAGTCCAAGTCAACGGTGTAGCTTACCCAAGGCTCTGAGACCAGTGCCCACGTTCCTTGTTAAAATGGGAAGTCAGCAAGCAGGTTGGGTTGTGACTCATCCCTTCCTCCAGTGTGTCCACACTATAAACGCTGTCTTGGTTATCAGATCAACTGTCCCAGTATTGCAGTGCTTATATTCAAGTCACCCTTATTTTACTTAAGAATGGCCCTAAAGCACAAGGGTACTGAAGTTGGCAATTTGGATATGCCAAAGAGAAGCCATGAGGTGCTTCCTTTAAGTGAAAAGGTATGCGCATAGGAAAAAACATAGCATATACAGGGTTCGGAACTATCTGGGGTTTTGGGTTCCCACTGGGGGCTTATCTACGAATAAGAGGGGCTACTGTAAAAGCTCCTTGGAAAGGAAATTACAAATATAACCGCAGGCCTTGAGTAAGCAACAAAAGCTAGAATGTAACATTTCAAAACTTAAAGGAAATATTTATTCCCTCAATGCTTGGTGATTATTTTTAAAAAGCAGAGGAAGTTGAGAGAGGGAAAACAAATCAGCAAAACATTCAACTGAAACTCGAAGACGACCACAAAACGAACCTACAGGAAAGGAAGAAGAAACACAAAATTGACACACAAATCCCACAGCCGTTTCTTTAGGGGAAAGGTACCAAAAACAACAATAAAACAGACAAACCTCTGGAAAACAAGGGGAAAGGAGACATCGTAAGTCAAATTAGAAATGAAGAAGAGAATTTGACAGCAGATACAGAGCTAGTGGCAAAGCGGCAGATGAGGGGCCTGAGGCTGGTGCCCCACATCTGGGAGCTTTCACAGCTGCTTCTGCTGCCTCGGCCACAAGGCCTCACATCACAGCACACAGAAGAGCTGGGAGGGCTCATCCAGATGGGGCAAGTGAGTCTCGGACAGGATGTGTGACTTACTGTACATCACACAGTGTGAAAAGAATTCCTGGGACAAGAATCCAAATTTCTAGAATTTGACACATTTAGAGTTAAGACAGCATCACAGATATTTTGGCCCTAAATCTGAAGAGGGCTTTTATTTTGCAAAAGTTCCCTCCAAACTATGATTTCACCATCCTCACAATATCCTAAAAGGTGGACCGGGGTAGGAGAAGGGTGTGCTGTAATTATCCTGCATGAATGGAATCCTATCTGCAGATATGGCCATAGTATAGATAGGTGATGTGATTCACCGAAGGTCACAAAGCATCCACACACTTAGGAAAGCCAACCTCAGAATCTCCTTGTCTGCCCTCCAACCCTCTGCCTTGTTATTAGGAGGCAGAATGGGATGTGTTATGTGCAGAGGCTCTGACATTGCAATGACCTGGATCCGAACTCCAGCTCTGTCACTTATGGGCCGTGGGTCCCTCGCACATTCCTTAACTACTCTGATCCCAGGAACAATACTCCACCCAGAACTGTTGAGAAAACTAAAGGATGACGTAAGTGTAAATGCAGTAATATTTCAGACTTACTCCTGATGTGCTGTCCCACATCGTTAAGCCATTTTGTCCTCCCTGCACTCCGCTGTCTGCTTCAAGGGAGCAGAAAGCCAGGCATCGGGCCAGGGAGAAGGATGTGGCACCTGTGGAGACAGCCCTGCTCCTTGGAGCCTGGAGAACCACAGGCAGGAGAAGGGAGAGGACAGGGTCAAAGCAGAGGGGCTTTGCCTCCCTCCTCATGGGGCCCTGGGCAGACACCTATGTAGAGGCCAGAGTGTCAGCAACAGCAGCTGCAGGTTAGAAAGAGGGAGGACTCTGAAACCATGCTCCTGGCTCTCCATGCAGGAGACTCAGAAGTGCTGAGTCGGTGGGGCCTGGTAGGGGTCTGGGGGTGGGACAGAAAAGACACAGTGTAGAGGGACCCCCCGACCAGAGGCAACATGCTAAGGACAGGACTCTAGCATGAAGCCAGAATGGTGCCCCAACTCTGGATCAGCCCCTGCAGCAGTGAAGGCCAGAAGTCGCCACATGCAGTGCCGGTCCAGTCCCCTTGTCCTCGGCCACCATGAGGTCACGAAACTGCACAAGGTCCATAATAGAAAATAAAGAAGCTTATGTTTTTTCCATCTGTCTGATTAGTGCTGTATCAATGCACCTCCTGAAACCTGGAAAGTTATCAGCCTAGTGCCAGCAATCTGGTAACAGTCAGTAAGTGGTAGCTCTTGTTATTCTAAATATTATTATTGCAGTCTCTCCTGTCTCACTTACACCCTGTGGGGATCATGCATTCTTCCTCCTAACCCCTTTATGCCAGAATTAAAGAGGAAGGAACGTGAAATCTGTGAGTGGTAACGGTGGAGCATGCAATGTTAAATCACCCATATGCTAAGAAAAATTATCCAAGACTTGGGGAAAAGGCAAAAAGGTAATGGTGGGACCTTTTAATACCATGCTAGAGCATTTCCTAATTAGTTCTCACCCTCCTCACAGTACTATTACTTATTCTTAACCCAGTAGAGCCCAGATGGCCTCCCAACTCTGCAAAGCTGGATATTAACGGTTAGAAAACTGAGGTGAGATTTTGTTCGTCTAGTCCGCCAGATCACTTCACCTCCAAGGCTGTGATTTCTTTGCCCTGTTTAGCAGCTGGTTTTATCTCTAACTTCGCAGTTATTTCAGCATTCCATGGTCTACTGACATACAAACGTTTGGAACCAGCCACTGCTCTTCCTATTTTCCTCACTTGGGAGCTAAGGAAAACTTTGACAAGTTCTTATCTTATGAGAATTATATTTTTAACCATTTATGAATTGTGCTTTAAGTCACAATATTAGTAGCAGCAGTAGTAGTAGTACTCTGGGCTTCTGTCCTCTTCACATCTCTGATGGCATCATTGATTAGTTATCTGTATAATTTCTCCTTCAAGGCCTATCTGCCTCCTCTAGAAGCTCAGCTCCAGGACAGCATATCTGCCTCATACTCAACACATCTCTAGTGACAAGAATGGATTAGACACTCAGTACATATTTGAATAAAAGTCCCTGATAAATACAGCGGAGAGACAAGGAATCTGCAAGGTGAACAATGGAAAGGGTGTGAGGTTCCAGTGATCTCTTCTTTCTTGCTAAACAAGTTTAATTTTGATTGAATTTCCCTTGTAACTGAAAAAGTCCTGAGTAAGACCATTCAGAAATGAGAGAACTTCTCTTAAACAGATCAGAGAGAGCAGCCCCTAACCCCGACTCTGCGAAACCAGCAGTTCCATGATGGGCTGTCCATTCTGACTCCTTTACTCAGACAACTAGAAAACAAATGGTTGCCAAGGAGGCTTACTCAGCCTCTTTGTTGGGAATGCTGGGCAAAAATTTTTTTTTTTTTGGCAAAAGCTCCAGAATAAAAGAGAGACAGTGTGCTGACCCTACTAGCAAGCCCCAGCATTTATCTGGCCAGGCTTGGGAGCAGTCACAATGATGGAGAATTTTCCTACAGAGAGTTAAAATCTGGCAGTGCATTGCACATGTCTTTTGGGTAAACTGTGAGAGCAGCTCTAGTGGCCATGGGGCCAGTCAGACCATGTGATTGGGTAAAGATGGGCCCGCATAAAACAATAGGGAGTGATGGGAACTGCGGCAAATACAAAACCCTGCCTAAGGGGGCATTAACTCTTCGACTGTTCTCATTTGATTGTGTGCTCAGATTTTTCTGGCTGTTCAAGAGAGAAGTTCAGTTTTTATGGGAAATGACCTGATTTTTTAAATATTGGCAATTATTTTTTTTCTTTTCAGTACAAGAACCAAATAAAACATATCTGTGAGGCCAGTCCAATCTACCAGCCATCACTTTGTGACTCTGTGTCAGTATTGTACTTTACGAGGAAAAGGAAGACAGTCTCGATCCCATGTTGGATGGACCCAGCTGTCTGCATTACAGCTTCCAAAGGGGAATCTTCCTTACCAGCCATCAACACCAGCTTTCTGCAGTTCAGAAATCCCAAACGACAGAGATCCCATGAAGTCGTTCCGGCTAGTCAGATCCCAGTCCCAAATCTCCACAGACAGTCTCCTGTCTTTGTCCGATTCTTTCAGCTGGCTGTGGGGAAGAACAAAGGGAGACGTCAGTGGGATTACAGTGATTTCTCAATCAGATGAAACGTATAAGAGGACATGGCCTGAAGGTAGGAATATTTAAAGATTACAAGCTTTTGCAAGAAATACATTCTGTTTCCATCCCAGGTGCTCTCCCCAGGGAGGAAGAGCATTTTCTTTTTGACAGCCTATCGCTTAACAGGCAGAAGGCCCAGGCCAGCTCTGAGAGGGGCGGTTCCAGCTACTTCTGTTGCCTTCCTTATGTCTTAATAGGGCTCATGGTGTTCTAGAAATCTTGTAGACACTCTCACTCTAAGAAATATGGATGGTAATTATGTAACCATGTGGGTTTGCACACATGGGTTAGGTGAAGCTGGGGAAACGGATAAAGGATAGCCTCACTGGCGCTGGTCTGGGGGAAATTGTATGTTCTGAGGCATCTTCTTGCTTCTGGCTGAAATGGGCTCCCAGATTTTCCTTGAGAGAGGAAAGAGAGGAGGAGGCTACCTTCAAGGAATCATGCTTTTGGCCCGTGGCCTCTCAAGTCAGGCTGTCAAAGGCTGACTCTCACTCTACCCTGTATTTGCTGTGGGACTTTGGGCACATTCTCTAAGCCCCATTAGCAAAATGGGATGACATGACCAATGGAGCCAGATGAGTTAATACAGTGCTTGTTACACATAGTATATGCTCAATGAACATCAGCCGATATCACTAACACTTGTTGCCCAGGTGTATCAAAAAGCAACTCCCAGGTTTTTGGAGCACCAGCCAGGCAAGACCTTCCAGGGAGGCTGGCAGGAGTTCCCAGCAGGCCTAGAATTTTCTACAAACTCAGCTTTAGAGAGGTGATCACTGCACCCTATGGGTTTGCGGAGACCCTGAGCTTCTTCCCACAACTTGCCTTCACCTAGCAACGCATCATACTATTTTCTATGCCACCCACTCCCTCACACCACAGACATTTTCAACTCTATTAAACAAATAGGCTCCAATGTTTACTTGGTTTGCAATGCAAAAATGCAGATGGAAGCGGGGAAAGAAGGAAGGAAGAATAGGGGAGGAAAAGAGGGACGGAGGGAAGGAAACAGAGGCTGGAGAGGAACTCCCAAAACTCAGGTGGTCCACCCCTCATGCTAGGCTGCAATAATTTCAACTTACAATCTGAATGTCTCATTCCACTCGGGGTTGAGAGAGCACTTGATCGTTTTGGTCTTCTGTTTGCTCTCACTCTTGGGGTCAGGAATGAGTTTCAGTTTCACGTAGGGATCTGACAAGCCATTGGGGTCCATTGGTACAAGGTTTTTAGCATCTCTTACTGAAAAAAGAAAAAGCAGTTTCGGCATTAACAGTGCCTCAAACGTTTCAGCACCAACCAATAATGGCTGTAGAGCCTGTGGAAGGGTTCTTGAAGGCATCGCACTTAGTTAATGAGAATTTTAATTTATTAACATCAATAGCTAAAAAGCATCCAAAGTGAGAGAAATTGACAAGATGTGGTTTAAAACTGATTTAAGTTGGTTTAAATTTTATTTCTGACTTTCTTAATGCTCTCCCTATTCCACTGCCAAGATGAACTGTAAGCCCTCTACACTTGTTTTCCACAAAGGCTATAAAGAAGATCAGCTTCTTTCATTTAGCATATTGTTTTAAAGTTTCATTCACATTGTAGCATGTGCCAGTGCTTCACTGACTAACATTCTATTATATGGAAATAAATTTTGTTTACTCATTCATCAGCTGATTAACATTTGGGTTGTTTCCACTTTTTCACTATTGTGAATAGTGCTGCTCTGAACATTTGTGTAGCCTGACACAAAAGGTCATGTATTATATTATTCCACTGACAGGAAACATCCAGAACAGGTAAAGCTCATAAACAGAAAGCAGACTAGCAGTTTCCAGAGGCTGAGGATGGGGAGGAGATGGAGAGTGGCTACTTAGTAGGTATGTGGTTTCCTTTACAGGTGATAAAAATTTATTAGATCTAGAGAGAGATGATGATTTTGTGCACCACATTGCGAATGTACTAAATGCCACTGAATTAGACTCTCATAAATGGTTAATTTTATATTATGTGAATTTTACCTCAATTCAAAAAGAAAAAGCCAAAAGAGAAAGAGCTGTCCACTCAACCAGGTCCACCCATCATCTACGTAGCACCCATACCCAGTATCCAAACAGCCCATAGAGAGAAGGCTGGACAAATACTGGCTTCACTCTCAATCAAGAACACTCTGCTTAACAGAGGCTGTAAGACCAGCCTAGAGAAGGAAAGAAAGCAGAGGGTCGGCAGCATAGATGCTGGCCTTATTAAGGTGGAATAAGACATTAGGCTGCAGAAACAGGAAGAAGTTAATTAGGAGTCAATTCAAAAACCAGCAACATAAGTAGCCAGGGGAAGGAGATGAGAAACTGGAAGTTGTACAGATCTTAAGGATGCTGTGCTAACCATCTCACTTACGATAGAAAAATTCAAAGTAATATAGCATTAGCAGATTGAATCTAACTATCTGCCAGAAGACTAATATATAAGACATCTAGCAGGAATGCAAAGATGGTTCAACCTTAGTATTTCTACTATTAAAATAGTCATCATATTTATAGGTCAAAGGAGAAAATGTCAAGATCATTGCAATTAGTTAAAAATAGCTAATTTCATTCACAGGATAAAGGCTATCTGAAATAGCACCACGGTTAATGACAAATGAAATCCCATTAAACTCAGGAATAAGACAGATATACATGACCACTGCAATTATGGAAATTGTTTCTAATTGTTCCATAAGTGCAATAAAACAACAGAAACAGAATATTGCATAGTTGGGAGTAGAGCACCCCTTTACTTCCTGCATCCTTTGGTGCCACATTCATCAATCACCTCTTACTTGAGCTTATCCCCAAAACAACACCACTTTCTCAGTTCAATTTCATGTATCCCAAGATCTTATACCACTTCCTATTTTTCCAGTTCATTAACTCTAGTACCCCACAGCAATAAGTCTTTTACCACCAATCAGTCTATTGATCCCCATAAATTTCCTCCATCTCTCATTCCCTCTTGCCTCTACTTCATTCAGCCCAGATTAGATGTTATGGTGCATTACAATCACTCCCTTGAAAACACCCTCAAATTCCCTTGCTCATCTTTCTTTCCATTTTATTTTTCTGACAAAACCCCAACCCGAGTTAAATTCAAATATCTTCCCTTTATTTTCCTACTTTCAAACAGCTTACCATGCTGGAGGGGGAAAAAAGCCCACCCGACTTGCCTACAATCATACTGCTAGTAAGGGGTGGGACTAAATAAATGAGGTGAGAAAGAGCTGGGCAGCTGTCAAATGAGTGACAAAGGACCAGAAGATGCAAGCTGTCAGTTACTCTGCACTGACATTTTTCTTCACTGTAGCATAATGTCACTTCCTTCCATTTATCCACAGGTTGAATTCATGCTCCATTTCAGCTTGCAGGTTGTGTCTCATTCTTGCACTGGAAGCAAGCCTGCTTCCTTCGATTCAGTTAAGTTCAATAAGCAGAGGTCCCTACTGAGTGTTAACACATTTTGATAGGCACTGGAGACACAGAGGACAACATAAGATGTTGATCCTGTCCCAAGGAAGATATAAAACCAATTTAGTCTAAGTACAGTTGATTTCTAATGACACAGTAGCCAGATTTTACAGTGTGTGGATGCAGGGATACAAGACGTAGGAGTCTGTAGCTTGTCTATCCTTACTTCATATTTTTGCACCTCAATTTCTTGACTGATAAAATGGAGATAATATATAACTCACTGGATTGTTATAAAAGTACAATCAGATAAAGAATAAATATGCTTGGCCCTGGCTGGTGTGGCTCAGTGGACTGAGTGCTGGCCAGAGAACTGAAGGGGTGTCAGTTCAATTCCCAGTCAGAGCACATGCCTGGGTGTGTGAGAGGCAACCACACAATGTTTCTCTCTCTCTCTTTCTCCCTCCCTTCCCCTCTCTCTAAAAATAAATAAAATCTTAAATAAAAAAAAAAAGAATATACATGTTTGGTACAGAACCTGAGACCTAGGAATAGTCAATAAATGCTAGCTACATTATTGCTATTTCATTATTATTATTATTATTATTATTATTATTACTCACTGCCCTCTTTTACTACATTTGTCCATGTATATTATGAAGATTTAACCATTTCCGGATGGACTGATATCAAACAGAACCTCTGGTGATTTCCCTTCTTGAGAATAATGCATCTGACCTTTGCATTTGAACCCTTCCAGGAGTGCCTTTAAACCCTAGCACGCATGAAAGTCACCCACAGGGCTGTGAGAGAGACTCCTGGGACACACCCCCACCCACAGATTCTGGTTCAGTAAGTCTAGAGTGAGACCTGTTTATCTGTTTTTCTAACAAGTTCCCAGGTGATGCTCATAGAGTATGTTAAGTAATGCTTTTCCAGATGATAAAATTTCTTAGGATATCCATGCATTTTCCCCAAAGAACAGCAATTTTCAACCAGTGCGCTGGGTCAGGCACACTGGAGTACCACAACATGGGCCTGGCTAGCATGGCTTAGTGGGTTGGACATCTCCCTCAAACTGAAAGGTCACCAGTTCAATTCCTGGTCAGGGCACATTACTGGCTTGCAGGCCAGGTCCCCAGTTGAGGGCATGGGAGAGGCAACTGATACCTGTTTCTCTCACACATCAATGTTACTCTCCCTCTCTTCCTCCCTTCCCCTCTCTCTAAAAATAAATAAATAAAATCTTTTTAAAAAAGAATTTTTAAAACACGCAAGGGACACTTACCTCTTTTCCCTTAAATTGTCAAATAAAAAATGACAACAGCCAGCACAGTAGCTGTCTGGTGTGAATGAATCAAACTTAAACCTATATTTTTTGTTAAATAGGCAAAAAAAATATAATTTATGTGTGTGTGCCGCAGAATTTTAGTAATTATTTTATGTATGCCATGAAAAAAAAAGGTTGAAGATTGCTGCCACAGAATACCACCTCATTTTCTGAGCCTTCCAAGAAAACTACCATGCGTCAGTTTCTAGGTTCAGATCTTAGAATGACACACCTATCACACAGTAGGCTAAATACACATACAACTGAGACACTCTGAAGTATGGGGAACTTGCCTGTTTGATTGGCAACACATATGCAAATGGAAACAGCTCATCTTCCTTTTCTCTGCTAAGGTCACATCTCTTCCCTGTCTTAGGAACTGATACCACAAGGAGAGTCAGGGGAGAACACGATTCTCTTGCAAGTTAAGACAGCTCTTCCACATTGTTCTTTGCACAATAAGAGTGTGTTGTATGCTTGAGCCAATCTCACAACTAATGACCCAAGTTTATAATGACCTCTCCTTGGGCAGCTTCTTCTCCTGAACCAAATCTTCCCCTGATCCCTAACTGAGGCATGACTCCATGTCTCTCCCAACCCTTATGGATCCTTTCCTCTACTTCTGTCTTTTTTGGGTCTGTCCTCTACCAGGACCAAAAATTTCTTGGAATGGAATGGAGTAGAATTGGTTCTGGGACTGGTGGCATTCACATCTCCAAGAGCTGTGGCTACTATGACGGCTGTATCCTGAGTGGCTGACAGTAACTAAAGGCTAAGATCCAAAGGCCTGTACCTCCTAAAGCTTTTCAGTGTCCAGTTTCCCTGCAGCAAGAGAGCCACAAATGTATCGAGGAAGCATCTCTCTAGACCACACTTGGCAAGACTGACTGATTTTTCCTGATAAATGTTTCTTTACTATCTTGGCTGAAATCCAGCCAGCCCAGATGGTACAAAATGCTTCATACAAAGCAGAAATAGCAACCTTCTCCCTGTCCTCCTCCCGCCACTGGTGGTAGTTTGCTAAAGGTACAAGAGAAAAGTGACCTGATCCAGAGACCACTGCTTGCTTCAGATGTGAAGATGGGTGGGAGGGAGGTGAGGGCAGGCTGTTTCTATCAAAGAGTCTTTACAGCAAGCGAGGCCTCTGCATTCCAGTCAAAGTTACCTAAGACGGTGCTGAATCCATGAACAGATAGCTCCAATGTTAACTATCTTCCTAAGAATTGCTGTTCACCAAGAAATTTTCTAGTCTCCCCGACCCCACAAAATGTCAACTACAGGGAAAAGTCTTGTTAATTATGTTGCTTCAATGTCTTTATCTCACATTTTGTGTACCAGGATCTTCTCTTTATTAATTCCTTTTGAAGGTATATTAGGAGTCTTTATTTGTCCTCACTATGTGTCCTCAGGACAGTTATTCGAAGCAACACCCATTAACATTCAGGTATGTGTGAGGATGTCTGCAGTGATAAGAAGTG